TAGTGTAAACATGTTTTGGAAATAGAGGGTTGCTAGCCGGTCACAGATCTGTGGTGGTGGGAACTCACTCCTTTGTCTGCTGCACATTTTTTTTTTTTTACTTGAGGCGCCTCAGGGTGAGCTACAGAGAGTAGGACTGGCTACAGCGGGAACGGTGGGCGTACATTCCTGTGAAGACAGGCAAGAATGCTGCAGAAAGGCCGAACGTTTCCAACCACAAGGACTAGGGGAAACAGCCTGGTGAACCAAAGCTCGTGTTCCATACCTAGGACAGAACACATCGCAGGAAGTGCCAGTGACTATCGAGGATGGTCCTGGGATACATGAGTCACTATGTAACATGACTCTTCCTTGTGGGTCTCGGTGTAGAAGGCTTGGACAGTGGATAAAAAGCAGAACCGTAGGCAGACCGCCCAGATTGAAGTCTGCTCCGCAGGAATCTGTGTCTTCACTTAAGCTCCCTCTGCCTCGGTTTTTCCATCTGTAGAATGGAGAGCATGGCCAAAGGTTGCCATGCTGCATGAGTTATGATTGTGAGCTTCCAAGAAGGCCCTGGTGACACTCACTCACCTTGGAACACCCACAACCAGGAACACTGCATCACAGTTGGCTACGGGTCCCCCAGGTCTGAAGGGATCTCGTGACTTTTGAGGCCCTGACAGAAAGACTGAGTGTCTACCTACTCTTGTGCTGAAGTGCTCGTTCCCATGGTGTGGTGTACCCCGCGCCTTCCCTCCTTCACTCCCAGGCACGCCCCTGCTGAGTAGAGAGAACCAGGTGCCAGGGCTAAAAGCCAGGCCTGGCTCTCAATTAAATGTTCCTCCATTATAATTTATTGCTTGCTCGCTTCCCAAATGGCTTGGGTGGCTGAAGGTTGTAGCAGGTGACATGCTAACAAGAGCATGGACTACATTAAAGCCTATTTCTGAGGAAAACAAACAAACCAAGAGGATGATTAAAAAATATACCAAGCACCTGGAAACTACAGCCACAGTTACAGGCCAAGAATCTGACTCATGGGTCAGCTAGAGGGACTCAGAGAACAAAGGTGTCTGCTGCCAAGCCTGACAGCCTGAGTTCAATCCCTGGGACCCACACAGGGGAAGACAATTGACTCCCACAAGTCCTCTGACAACACAAATACAAAAATGCAAAATTTAAGTTTTAAAATTCTTTTTTATAGGCTGGGCAGTGGTGGCGCACACCTTTAATCCCAGTACTTGGGAGGCAGAGGCAGGTGGATTTCTGAGTTCGAGGCCAGCCTGGTCTACAGCGTGAGTTCCAGGACAGCCAGAGCTACACAGAGAAATCCTGTCTCAAAAAAACAAAAACAAACAACAACAACAAAAACCCCGTGTAGCAAGTGTCCCATCCGTCATGCCAGTGGCTCTGGAACAGTAGTGTTCTGTCTCTGCAAAGGTCAGCTTCAGCATGAGACTCCCAGAAGTATCTCTGTCCGTCAACCTGCAGTGACTACTGTTAGGCTAGGGAGACCCGTGGAGGGAAGGGCAGGAACTGCCCCTCCTAACGTGGGACTTTAAGAAATCCTGGGAATTCCCCAGATTCTAAGCTGCAGCTTTCTCACTGCACCCACAAGGGGTACCCCACTATCCACTGTCTACTCTTTCCTGTTTCTTTCATGGCCAAGTAAATATCAGTTAGATTATAATTTTTCAAAGGGAAATATTAAAAATAAATTTCTAGAATTACTAATCCATACCTTGAGCTAAGTTAATGAAACATGCAGGAAGGCCACGATGTGTTATTTCAGCAAGTCTGAGGAGGCTAAGATGCCACATTTGGTGGATTAAGTGTTAGTGATAAGGGACAAATCCCTCATGTGGCTATTGGGGGGGGGGTGCGTAGCTCTGGAGTTTTGGTTGTTTTGCTTTAATGTGTTCATGTATGTGTGTTTCTGTAAACATGCATGTATGTATATGGTCCCATGATGCCCAGAAGTCAGCCTGTGTCTTTCCTAAATTGCTCTCCAGCCTGGAGTTTAAGAGCGGACTTCTCACTGGCCTTGGGCTCACCGATTCATCGTGAGCCAGCAAGCCCAGGAATGCAAGCCCAGGGAGGCTTCTGTTTCTGCCTCCCCAGTGCTAAGAAAATAAGCATGCACCAGCACGCCTGGCTTCAACATGTGGGTCTAGGGAATAGAACTCATGCCCTGGTGCTTGTGTGGCAAGTAGTTTGCCAGCTGAGCCATCTCCAGCCCAAGCATGGTCTCCCTCAGGCAGGGCAGACGCCAGGAGCTTCCATTCCCTGAGAATTTCTTGCTTGTTTTCAAAGGTTTACAGAGACTCACATACACCCATGCCTGTCTCTGGGCTTTGAGCAGGACCAGGTCACTGAGAAACCCCAGATATTACGAGATGCCACATCAAGTACCTGGTCTTGAACAAATGAGGGCTCTGTGTACTTTCGTCAGTGAGACTGCAGGTTTAGGAGTCATCAGGCTTAGTAAAAAGACTTAAAACTCTGTAAGCCTTAGTTTGTTGGTAGGGGACAGGAAGAGGCCACTCTGGAACTCAGTAGGCTTTGGAGTATAGACAGAAAACTAGATGGGTCATCCCACTGTCAGACTTGAATCCGATCCACTCAGAGGAACTGAGAAGCCCGTAGCAAGCAACAAGCCAGAGCAGGCCGACAGAAAGCTCTCGGCAAGGGTGTGGGGACCACAATCATGGGGCCAAGCTTTGGGCAAAGAAGACACAAGAACGTGGGGGAAGGAGGGGAAGGCTGGGTAGTTCTCCTCACATCTGAAAATCCCTTGCTGACGTACGCCAGCCCGGATGCTGACTGATTAAATGCAGAGGCATAGGCAGGGGTATCGAAAATTCAAGGCCTGCCTGACCTACAAGAGCGAGTTCGAGATCAGCCTGAACAAGTCAGTGAGAGCAAGTCACAAAATAAAAAGGTTAAAAAATGGGAGGGTGGGCTCAGATGCTCCATAGTAGAGCACTTATCTAGAAAGTTTGGTCCTCATAAAAAAGAAGAGGAAGAGAAAAGGGGGAGGAAGAAGAGGAGGAGGAGGAGGAGAAAGAGGAAGAGGAAGAAGAAGAGTGAAGGAAGGAACAGGGGAGCAGATAACATTGATGTGGGAACAGGAGCTTTAGAGGCATACCCTACCAAGACTAGCAAAAATCAGACCCACATCTTACACCTGGCTATTGCTGGTCCCCTTGAACCCAGTAAAGGGGTTGTGAGAGTAAGTAGCTTCCAGCTCCCCTCCACCCCACCTGCCCATCATTCAACCCGGTGACTCCTCAAACGACCAGCAACCTGACCCCACAGCTCAGAGCAAGGGTGAAACCATGTCCTGCTGCTCTTCCCTCCCTTACAGCAGATGTCCCAATGAACACACTCACCACATGAGTTCGTCCCAGCCAGTGTGTGGCCGAGTCCTGGCAGAGGCTGGGCCCTGGAGGGCTGCCTGAGCTGAATCGTCAATGCCATGGGCAGACACAAACTCCAAAGAGGACTCGGAGAGAGAGCGGTCCTCCATGCAAGCTTGGCTACGGCTCTGAGCCTTCCTCAGCAGTTTTTCCAGCTTGCTTGTTGGGGCAGAGCTGTGAAGATCCCCACGCTGCCCGAGACGCACAGTGGGTTACGTAACTCCAGCAACCAGGAACCCTATCACCTCATCTTATTAAACCACCCCAAACAGAAAAAAAAGGCGCACCCACAACACGACACCTCTCTAGGGTGGGGTGGGGCGGGGGAGCAGAGAGAGAAGCCTTTCTGATGGGCAGCTAGTTTTGCCTAAACTGTAGAGTAGAACAGAAAGCCACTGTTCTTCTCAGGACTCCCTGGGAAGTGAGGGTGGAGGCACAGTGCCAGGCAGCGTCCTGGGGCTTAGCTTGGCAGAGCCCTGAGAATCCACAAAGAGCTCCCAGGCATACTCAAGGTCTCTGGAGAACGCGTTTGCATTTTATGTCTTTGTTGCACTGACCGCCTGATAGGACTTTCTTTGGCAAAGAGGGACTGAATACCCAGCTCTTCAAATGCACTGTGCTGCCTGAGTTGGCAAAGTTGTGTCTGAGACTGTGCTGGGCATCACAGACATGAACTGTGGCTCTCAGTGGTCCCCTGGGGCTTGCTACAGGCATCCTAACAAAAAGCCTAGACCCTGCAGACTCTCCACTGCCATTCCCTCGCCCTCGGTTGTCACGCTTTGAGAAAGCGGAAACTGGTTGGACAGGCTGAAGTTCCCAGGATTTCACTGGTGGAGTCAGGGCTGGGATCCTGGCTCCAATGTTCGGAATGTTCTGGTCTCCCTCACCTCTTCCCCTCCAGAGCATGCAGCAGATGGTCCTTAACATGCTCTCATGTGTTCTGCTTGTCCTGCATCCATGTGTTTTCATGTTCCTCTGTCTCCTCAGCCAACTTGCCTTCCTGGACGCTGTGTCCCTGCTCGGGACTCTGACATGCCTGCTACTACAATTCAAGGCTCAAAAGTAGACACTATTCCCTCTCACTCAGGGCTCAGAGTGGGAAGACACTCCCACAATGTTCAAGAACTCAAGAGGAGTCCCCACAAGGGGACCCATGTCCCCAGAGGGGACATATAAAGGAGATGGACTCAAGAGGCCAAGGGGTCCTCCTATCTGAGACCTTTAGAGGTCACTGTAAGGAGGAACCTCCAGAGGCTTAATGGAGTGAAACCACTCCCCTGTCCATATTCAAGGATCAGCTCTTGCAGGAGCTGGAGTAAACCAGCTGAGCTGCCCTGTAGAGACAAGAACACGGGCCTGCAGGGCCCACTGGGATTCTCCCAAGAAGGAGTTCCCAACATGTTCCTGCTCTGAGAAGAAAGATGGATTGTGTCATATGTGGGCATTTCTGACACCGTGCCCTCGAGTAATAGACAAGGGCAGGGGACCAGGGGCACAGAGGAGGGATCAGGGGCACAGAGGAGAGATCAGGGGCACAGGGGAGAGGTCAGGGGCACAG